CAGATGCCAGATACCTCCTAGATATACGTAATGCGGCCGCCTTACTAGGGAAGTATGCTTGAAATATACTAGAGATATTTAGAAGGCTAAGCCCCTTCGGGACTAGTATACTATAGGGTATATATACTCCCTTGTAGCCTCCTATATTCTAGTTTTCCTTTTCTTAGCTTTGAATCGTCTTTATAAGGGACCTTCTACCTTGCTTTTCAAGCCCTAAATACCGTATTCGTAATAATTAGTATAATACTAGTAATATAAATAGTTTTTAAAAAGAATCTTTACTAGAATTATTAAAACTTAAGAATTTAATATATCTAAATTATTAAAATATCGAAATATTATTTATATATTAAATAAACCGGCTCTTAAAGAAAAATTACTATAAACTAATTATAATAATTCTATAAATAAGTATTTTAGTATTAATAAAATATTACAGATTTTCTAAAAAAAGTATTTCTAGTAAAATATAAAAAAGAATATAAAAAACTATATTAGAACTTGTTTTATATATTAATAAATTAAAATAAAGAAATATCTATTATATAATATATTTAGTTCGTTTTTTCTTTCTTTTAAGCTATAATAAGAAATTATTATAGACTTTATTATAAGGCTATTTCCTTTTAGGTTTTATAATAAAATATATAATTCTATATTAATTATTATTAATAAATATATAAAAATAGTATAATATATTCCGATTATTAAAGAGATTTCGGCTTCTGAATTAATAGAACTATTTATATATTATATTATTAAAGACTTTAGTATATTTATAAATATAATTTCTAATAAAGAATCTACTTTTATAAATAAGTTTTAATTAAGTTTATACTTTTATTTAAAGATTTAATAATAGCTAAATATAGTATTCTATTTATAAACTAATAAATAAATAGAGAATCTAAACTAAACTCTAGAATAATACTTAAGGTATTATACTAGTTATTAGTAAAATAACTAAATAATAAAGCTTATTTTTATAGAATTTATATATAATAACTTTATATATTTAATAATAGGAATTTTTTTATTTTATATATTATATGAATTTTATTCTAATATTAAACTATATATTAAAAATAATATTTTAGAAAAAAAAGTACTAGTAATATAAATAAAAAAATAAAAGATTTAAATAAAATAAAAGATATTAGAGAAGTAATAATAAAAAGTAATAAATATATAGAAAAAAGTACTATAATAAAAAATATATTAATAAAAAGTTTAAGATATATAATAAAGTTATATTTTATATAAAGAATATTTAATAGTCATAATTTAGTATAAAGCTAATAAATAAATATTTTAATTCTTTTAAGGTTCTGGAAATTATAGAAATATATAAATAAATATATTATTTGAAATTACTATTATTATATTAGATTTATAATATTTTTTATATTTCTTTCTCGAAACTATAATACCTATAAACTAGTACTATAATAGAACCAGAACTAGTTAAGATTAAGGATAAAGAAAAATTCGAGATAGAATTTATTATAGTTTATAGAAAAAATAGAAAAGAAAAGAAATATTTTATTTATTAAAAAAACTATTTACTAATAAATAATATATAGAAATTACTAAATAATCTAGAAAATTGTCACGTGTGGCTGTCACGTGACTACGATCCAGCCATTTAACCGTAATTAGGCGTATTCACTATACGGTAAATACTATAGTCTTTTGGTCCAGTAAACTATAGTACGAGCCTAATTCTTATACGTTACAAAAATATAGTTCAAGAATTATAAAAATACTTAGAAGAAAAAATATTATAATATTATTAATTAAACAGAAATATAAAAAATAAATACTATTATTAAAAAATTATTAAAAACTCTAAAAACTCTAATTTCTATATTCTATAAATATTTTATTTTTATAACTACTTTCTATTATTCTTATTCTTATTCTTATTAGAATTCTTTCGAGAAATAAATAATAAATTAGTCTAGAAAGTTATTAGCTATTAATAAAAAATAAAGAGAAAATAAGCTTATTTTATATTTATATTAAACTAATAAGAATTATTTAATTTATTTCTTGAATTATTAAAGGAATTTATTAGTTTCAAATAATAGCTTTAATATAAGAAATATATATAGTTTAATATAGAAAAAGAATAATAATAGCTTTCTTTTTTTTAGGTAAAGATTAAATAAGATATTTATATATATTAATGGCTTGGAAAAGGCAGTTTAATTATATTATATATATTTGAGAAATCTTAAATAGTATTAGAATAGAGAATAAAAAAAGTAATTTATAATTTATAGAATTATATTTCTTATTCTTGAAATAGTAATAATCATATATCGAGTAGTTATTATTCTTAATATAAATAAAGTCGGGAAACTTAATAATATTCTTGAAATATTGAAAATAATAAGAGTAAATTAAGGCTATAGGAATATTAGCTAAATAAATAATAATAGGCTAATAAATATTAAAAAAAGAATTTATTTTAATAGATAAAAAAGTAAAAGAGAAGATTAGAAAGAAGCTTAAAGGAACTTAAAAAAGGCTTAAAAAGATTTGGAAAAGAAAGGCAAGAGATAAAGAGAAGCTAGATATAGTATTATAGTTAAGAGAAAAAAAGGTTAATTAATAGAAAAAGAGAGGCCTTTTTATAATATTCTTTTCCTAAATAGTAATTATAAATTCGAAATTAGCTCTATACTAGAAATACCTAGAAACTTCTAAAGAAAAGATTTATAAATAAACCAGAAAATCGGATTAACTTTTCTAAGTTCTTAGGCTTATAAAGTAATAATTTATTTGCGAATAGAGGCTAAGTTGGAATTTATAAACTAATTAGAAAACTAAAAGAGCTTTATATCTAATAGTATATATTATACCTGTATTACTTTTATAAGAAGGAATTATTAGAAGCGATTTGCAAGTTAACTAGATAGGGTTAGTAAACTATATTCTTAACTTTATTACCTGGTATAATAATAGAGTAATTATAGGAAGTCTTTAGAAAGAGCTAGTAGCCAGAAAAGTTTTAGAAAACTATTTATAAAGCTATTTGCAGTTTTCTTAGGCCTCTTGAGAATAAGGGCCCAGAGGGGGAATTAATATAATAGGTATATATAATAATATATAGACAGGTATTAGATATTATAAATCTAGTTTCTTATTTTGAGTAAAGCTTATAATTAGAATTATACAAGTAATCGGAATTATATAAATTATATGAGATTGCATTTCCTAGTTAAGTAAAGGGCTTTATATACTTGGCTAAGTACTAGGGAATATATAGGGAAATACTTCTAGCTTTGGAAAGGAGTATTAATTAGTTTTTTATTGGAATTAATTCTTGGAATTAGTTATACTTGCAAGTATTACTCTATAGCTTACTTACCTTAACTACTTGTATATTACCCTGCTATTACGTGCCTTATACCTATAATAAAAGACTTTACTTTTTACTAACTTTCTTTATTTATATAGAATATTATTTATTATTAGTTCATTATATTTTTTTAGTACTAGAATAAGTAATAGAATAAAGCTTAAAAGTTTAATTTAGATTAATATTCTTTAGAATATATTTAAATATATAAAGAATAATAGATATAAATATAGCTATTTATTTAATAAGACTTTAAAATATTATATATCTTTTTAACCTCTTTATAAATTTAAAGAAAAATACTATTGTTCGGACTCTGAAAGTCGATACGTCCCAAATTACGGGTGCACTTTTGGACAAGTTTGCTGCCATTGACATGAATGGGCGTCAAATTAAGAATACTGTGAAAATGGCCGGACTGCTCACCACAAACAAAAACCACTCTTTGACTGTGGAGCATGTGGAAATGATGTTGGCCATTGGCCAATCGAAGTAAAGGGGCGAGTGTTTTTTCAAGCGAGTTAATTGTCTTGTATTACAGTAGCCTTTGTGATATTTTTTCAACTCTACTTTCATATTCAAGGCGTCTTCGTTTAGGTAGTAGAAAACCCCGTGGCCGCACCGGCGCTAAGAATCAGAGTGGGAGAAGCAGACTTCTCACTGCTTCAAAGCTGCAAAGATCCCGTACTAAAGGGCTACCACACTTCGCGTAAGGGACGTATACACAAAGGCGTGAAGAGGAATCTGACTTACGTGATATAAAGTTTGAGTATCTGGTCTTGCTCCCGCTCGACCTTGTCAACATGCTTGTTGAGGCCCTTGAAACTGTCCTTAGCTTTGAACGATCCGGGTTGGTAGCCGTTCGCTTTCGTGCGAGCCCAAATCTCGGCCGCGGTCGGCATGGTTGATGATTTGTTGAGAAAAGTAAAACTGGGAGGAAGGAGAGCCATCCTAGGTTTAAATGGTGCACACATCTTGTGCATAGGGAAAAGCTTTGTCTACCGTTTCTCGAATGTGGGAATATAGACTTGGTAAATGGGTGTTGCTCAGGCCTGCGAGTGGTCGCTCACCTAACGAGCCTTGTAAGAAACGTTGGACTTTTTAAATTTATAACAAATGCCCTAATTTATTATCGGATAATATACTTTAGCTTCTTCTTACTAATAATATTAAATAGTAAGTAGTAATGCTTTGTGGTTATTTGGGACTTTTAAGTAAAGCTAGTGACTTTGATTTCCTAATCCCTAAAAAGTAGCCCGAAGCGCACAGGGTGATCTTGGCAGGCTCGAAAGGCATCACCTATCGGCTCGGTAAAAGCAGCGTGTTCGGGTGAACCTCGCGAGATACTTACGCACATTTTGAGATACTGAGATGCCAACGCACGTCTGACGTTGAGCTTGCGCTTTGTACACCGTCACTTACGGAATGCCAGTACCAATCATTCACGAATTGAGAAGTTGATATGGAAAATGAGAAATAAGGAGGCGCCTCTACAGATGTCCCAAGCCGAAATCCTATTGATGGCGAACCCGTCTGTCAGTGGGGAAAATTGTTCAACCTTGCCCGCAAGGCTGCGATTTTTAGCTGCGCGTCAACCTCACGTCTCTCTTCCCAACAACCAAATGTATCTGCCATGGCACCCATCCGCAGATACCTGCGAATCACCAAATATTCGGTCTTAGAATGTCGGATCTACCTTGATAACCCAGCTCTGGCTGAAAGCTGGCTGCTAAACTCTCGAAGTCCGGTTCTACCTCGCGTCATCGAGAGCGTGCGTCCTCTTGTTCTGCCAAAGCTCCGAGAAGAGAATGAGCGCAGTAAAAGTAAAGGCGGCAAGAAGAAAGGCGTGAAGGATGTTGTGATCGAAGGTATGACTCCTGGCATTCAGTGGCCATGGTTCTGATGTTAGCAGAGGACTTCGAGGTCTCCATCTTCTTGACCGAGACTAGCACGCGACATTCCCTTCTCACGAAGCAGAAGCATTTCCGAGAACCGAGGAAAAAACTCCAGTCGAATTCTCATAAGCTTACTGGAGATACGAATGACACACCGATCGAGGTTGAGGATGGGCCTGTGATCCTGCGGGAGGAGAGTGACGAAGAGGGCTTGAATCTCAACGAACTGCCTGAAGCAGACGACGACATCGAAGACTCTCTATTCGTAGAAGAAGAAGACACTGGACCTCGCAGATCCAAACGTCCTCGAGCTCCAACACAAGCGTCATCACCACCCGAGTCCTCCGCGGGTTTCGCGCCCTTGGCAGAGCCTCTGCCGAAACGACGGAGGGACAAAGATGCGGTTCCTGCTGAGGAAAGCGATGACAAGAAGAAAATGGCAATGGATACGTCATACGACGGATTCTCAATCTATGGACGCGTATTGTGTCTGGTGGTCAAACGCAGAGACAAGAAAGGGAAGGGACCCGCGGGGTTGGCAGGAGGCCAAGCCATGATGGAGGATTGGATTACATCTACACAAATGCCTGCCATGCCAGAAGAAGACTGAACTCAATCGTCAATCCCTAAAGATAGACTGAGCCCGGAGTCTACATCTGAGCTGATACATACCGCGATGAAAGGCGGGTTGCACGCGTGGAATGGTCAATGTCCAACATCCCACCACCCCACCAAGTCACATCTCAGTCTTTCTCGGCCGAAATACCGCGTTTGAAACCCGTCGATCACATCATATACCTCCAGCTGGCACGCGTACTTTTGCCACAGTCTTCTGCCAAGCCTTAGATCATCTTCATGAGAGCTGTTTCAACCTCGCCCGCAGCGGGTCAAACAATTCCTCCCCCACACTACGTGCCGAAGCAACCTGCTATTTCGGTTCGCCGACGCAAGGATTGCGGCATAAGGCTACGATCATAACATATCATGATACGATCTGCAGAAGTTCGAGAAGACGGATAAGTGGGGGGCCAGTTAGAGGGGAGGAAGATGAAGGACAAGGTGAGGGGAAGGCGGTTCGTGAAACGGCAGGGTCTGAGCGGCATCAATCACAGGCGTAAGGAAGACGTGACGGCTGCACGGCTACGAAACATTTTGCCACCCATGTCTTGCGGCCTTTCTCATTGGTACAGGGAGGCCGAGCAAGGCTGGGGCGGATGTTTTGACTTCTTGCTTCTCAAGAAATGTTTATCCATACCGCCTCTAACCTTTAATATCCGGGGGATCCCATCCCCAACTTCCTCAAAAAGAGTTTCTTTCCCAAGGATACCTAGTATTCAACACTCTCAGACCTGAATCTCAATTACCCTCCTTAATTCCTGTCCCTTACCTGTCTCTATTCCGAGATCTTCATCATCCCAAATGCATCGCAGCCGCAGCGCGTCCCGAAACACGCAACGAAGTTCAGCCGGATAGCCCCAAAATCCTTCAGGTCTAACTTTACCACATCATACATAATTTACATGCCACATCACAGCCTCGACGCCTCTCGTGCATTACCGCGCAGCCTCGGCGTCAGTGCCAGCGTTCCCTGTCGTGCATTGCCGCAGTGTTTTGAGATGTGCTCGCTCCGATGCCCTGTGGAGCCAGTGCCTTATCGCCCCTCCTTTGCCTATTTCCAGAACACTACCTCACTACCATGATTACAACGGAATATTATACATCAGTGATGACTCCTCCCAACTCGATTCTTTCACCGCCTTCCCATCCCCTGGAAAGCTGTGGAGAGAAGATCTCCAATGCCCCAACGCGAAACGGGGGGAGGCAGGGACCATGGATATCGGGTCTCGTATAAAGTACAGTCAGTACACTAGAATAATTGGGACTTATTACAGTAATGACGATGATATTCGATGGATCTGTTTTGAACCCCATCCCCCTCTTTTTGATTCGAAGATGGAAAAATTGGATGGGGGCTTGGCCTTTGATGAGAAAGGCTCCGAGATTGCTAATTGGATGGGGACTGACTGCATTATTGTTCGTCCGTCCTCGACTTGTAAGTTGTTGAGGGAGTGGGGAGTGGGGAGTGCGGAGGGGTTTGTACCGAGGTTCAAGAATGAGGTCTGGATGATCATACTCTAAAATATATCCCACGCAACCTAAGAGTAGTGAAAGGAAGTTTAGGTATCAGAACTGAAAGCCGATAGTAGGGAATAATGAGGGCGTGGGGGGAGAGTTTCGCAAGTTTTTAAATTGTTTTGTTTTTATTTGACTTTTTATTTATTTATTAGGGATTTTCATTTCCTGGTGCGCAGAAGGGGGGGGACAAGGTCACTAGATAGATTTGTAAATTACTTTGTGCGAAGAGTAAATTTAACTCCGGAGATATTTTATCCTATCTACGAGAACACTTGCAAGCAAATAATCTCGGAAAAGGAGATTTTTGGCAAAAGGTGGAAATGCGACAAGCATGCGCGTGCGCGTGGAAAATTCCAAAAATAGGTTGACTGGCCAACTGGATCAAATTTCCGGCACTTCTCAAAATGGAATCCCGAAATTTGACTTAGGTCAGTTATGTACCCATGCCTCATTTCAGGCTTCACTTTAATTCTTTTTTTTTTTTCAAGTATGGGGACACCGTAAAAGATGATGTAATTTCGAGGGAGAGCGAAAGGCGGTGACAGGGGGTTGCCTGGTTTTCGGGGGACAGTCAGCGATGGAGGGAAGAGTGGAGTTTGGGTCCAGCTTCAGGGGCATCCTTGTCTCTCGCCACGTGGAAAATTTGATGGTGGGGAGGAGGATTCGGCGGAGCGCCACGGAGCGGAGCGGAGCGATGGGGCAACGCACAAATGCATTTGCCGAATTGAGTGAGGTTGGACCCGCATTCTCCGTGGACGAACTCCCTCTCGGGGAGAAACAACGAGAAATACTGCAGGACCTCGGCGTGGAGGAATAAGAGTCCAAAGTCTTGAGTAGAGGGACTTGGAGGCGGCCCAGAGAGAGTCCGAGACCTCTCATGATCGGAAGACTTTGAGTTCAAGCACGGGCACAAACCTGCGCTGACCACTCCCCAGAGTGCGATCCACCACTCACATGCCCTCGCTCCCCAGAAACTCTATATAAGAGCGGTCGACCGCTTGAATTCGCTTCATCCCGCGCGGTACCGTGAGATTCCTGCGACGACGAGATTAGGTTTCTGGAGGTCTGTGAATTCTACCTCCTGGTCCTGAATCGGGTTTCGTTTATTTTCCTTCGCTCTGTGCATTGTTCGATCTGGAGAAAAAAAAAAAGGGTTGTTCTCCGAGTGCGACTCCATATCCGAGAAACATTTTTTTATTTCCGGGTTTGTGGCACGGAATAGAAATTTGGGTTAGGGTTGTCCCTTCCCCCCTTAGTAAAGTGAGGAGGAATGAGGCTTGTAGAAGAAGAAAATTTGTGTTCCGGGAACTCGGAAGAGGCCGACAGGGAAGGGGGTGGAAGGCAATCCTGGAGAAAATTCTTGCTGTAGGGGTAATAGAGAAGAAAGGAGGCAAAAAGCCGCGCGGGAGAAGAGAAACGTTTAACGGTAGTTGAGAAAGGAGGAAATTAGATGCTGGGTTGATTGAAGTCCCCCGAGACGTGGCTGCGGATCGGACAGACAACATGACGAGTTCCGTCCACCCCCTTTCTCCCACTCTCACGAGAATCATGAGAGCCCCACAATGAAATGAAGGTAACACAATACCATCAGTGCTCAGCAATGCGTGGCTTGCGGTGGTACCTCCATACTCGCACTCGGGACATCAGATTGTATGCTCGCCACGCATAGGGGTCACGGATCTTGAGACGCGTTTCAGATGCGCTCATCTGTTATTCTGCGGTGAGGCGCGTGTTTGATCATTGCAGTGGATTCCGGGTGGCAAAGAGAGGTGTGTGCGACGTGGAGGTCAAACCTTGAATATGCGTTGTTGTTTGATGAGAGGACAGATTTCTGCGTTCTGGGATTAAAAGGGGTTGACGGAGCATTATCACAAGTATTCAGGAGTCAGGAGGTCTGGACTCAATAAACATTGCCGCAAAGCCAAAGGGAGGAAAGGGGGGAGATGAAACTTCACCCTTCGGACGATCGTTTATTTCCTCATTGCGATTCCAATTTCGAGAAAGGGGGTTGTGCGTCTCCTTTACCTTTGGCTGCAGAAGTGGCTGCATCGCAGCAAGCGAGATTTCAGGGGAGGGGGAGCTTGGGGAGCTTCGAAAACGCTTCTAGAAGGCAGGGATGTGTGGCCCCTGCAGATTCAATCATTCAAGGCTGAAGTTTTGGGGCGGTGCAAGCCCCTTCCTCCGCGGTTCAATAATGTGGGTTTATTCTGAGAGATGCGTGCGTCCGGAGTGGGTAAAGAATGGAGCTTGTTCCGTTTCTGATTCTTCTCTTGTGGATGCTGGAAGATTTGTGGTACGTTGGATGACCATCTCTGATGCCACGGTCTGTTCGTACTCGCAGCCGCTGCGAAGGGCACAAACACAAACAGGCGCGGACTTCGAAACGGCGATGAAATCAGTCCTTTGCAACGTGTACAGTACATGCGAAGTGCAACAGGCTGAACCATATCTGTTCCCAAGATGGCGCCTGTTGCCATTTGGCCGTGCGATTGAGTCCAGGCGCTGCTCACGGGCGTGGCGGCGCGCGAAGTCGGCCTCGCCGGGCGGGAAACGAGCCCCAGCCAAGCTGTGGTGCCCTGCCGTTAATATTGAGGATGTGGCATCCTATTCCGGACAATCATGCGGTCCAGAATCTGGAGCTTCCAATAAATAACAATTCGGGAACTGGGAACTGGGAACTGAGCGCATCGATAGTTACATTTCAGCAGGGTCGGTTAGTGGGGGTTCTTGGTCGAGTGGCTAGGATTTCTCAGCTGATCGACGGACGAGGTTAGGGACGAGGGACGATCCACCTCGCTGACGCAGCAGTTGGCCGTTGAAGCATCGACGAGCTGCGAGCACGTTGTTCACCGCCTTTAGGGCAGCTGATGCTGATGCGATCCCGGGCTATTGGTTACCCCTGCGCAAGGCCTGACCCGACGATTCTTTGACGAAGCGCAGTGCAGCGCCGGGACGAGGTGGACTGTGTGAATGGTGACGCAACAGTTGTTCTGGAAATGATGAAATCACGTACAGTCCTGTCACCGCTCAAACGAACCGTCACCGCTCAATCCCAACCGTCGTGACCATCTCCGAGTTACCAAACCTGGTAGTGCCGGACCCGGTCCTTGATCCTGATCCTGATCCTGATCCTCGTCCGATTATGATGCCATGAAGCGATGGGCTTGGTCTGCGAGAGTTGGGCATCAGAGAGGGGGGCAGCGAAGGACATGTCGATTGGCCATATGGTGACTTTGAATGCCATCCCGTCTGCATCGCCGAACTGCTTCCCGAGGTCGAGCATCCAAAAGCAATGCCTTTACGAGCTTCCCACGCGCATCTTCCGATCTGGGCGAGATCCAGGCGGGGCGGTGGCAGGCATGCATCTCGAGTGACGGGTCGTCTCCCGGACCGAGTTGAAGAAAAGCAATGGTGTCTCTTTGCCGAACATGCCGAGTTGCTTTTTGCGACCCGCCAGGAAGGATAGGCGGCGTTGAGAGTTTCCGAATAATCAATACCCCGCTGCAACCTCAGTGGTTGAGCGAACGATCGTCAGGAGAACGGCATTGAAAAACAAATTCGGAGGGCATGCTGGTCATGAGGCCGCTTGCATTTGGTGGGAGATGAGGGATGAGATGATGAGATGAGATGAGATGGGATGAGATGGGATGAGGATGAAGCAAAGGTGATGTGAAGCAAGGGGATTGATGAACAAATGCCCGCCTGCAGAGGCCCCGTGCGTGCTGTGGGTGCTGCACTGCTGCACTGTTGCAGATGAGCCTCAGCCTTGTAACACTCAGGGGCTATGACCAGAGAACCGAGGCCTGCACCTCGCCTTCTAGAAGCCACACTCGGCACACTTGTTTCCTCTTCCACGCCTCGACAAATCTCAACCCGTGCACCAGTAACGTCGCACTCGCAACGCAAAGGGATTTCTCCTTGGACTTGACATAGATCTTGCGGAGAGCCTCCGGCATTGCTTCCCCAGTGGTGGCCACGGACGGCTGGGAAAGTCAAGATGGTCGATCTGGTGATACCATGGTAATCTTCAAATGTGCTTCTTCCGGAGACTCTCCTCGACTTTCGTTCAGCTCATCCCCTGCTCCTGCGGTGCGGCCCAAAGTCCCGAAGGTCTGCACCCGCCGTCTGTTGGGCTGCTGTCACCTCGGACTCATTCGCCGAGTTTCACGCGTGGCTGACCTGAGATCTGTTTTACAATGTTACCATACTCTCGGCGAGATGGCTGATGCATGGTCACCAACGAAGCCCGAGGAAGCCTCGTGAATGCACAGTCATGCCACGAGCAGGCACACAAACGCGAGGCCACGTTTATTTCGTGCGTCTCTGCTCCCGAGGCTGCGGACGGTAGCTGTTTCTGTTACCGTTTATGCACAGAGAGTTTCCTGGGAGAACGGGAGCGTGAAAGATCGATCGAGAGGCGCACAGGAATACCCAAGAGGGCTCAAGCCATAGAAAACAATAATACCACCAAATAATTGGCAGAATACTGGCGTGATCTCGTGAAGTCCGCAGCTCCGTACGTACACGGATTGCTCTTGGGAACTGCAGGCGGTTCGGCTTGGCCTCGTCTCTTCCTGCATTTGGAAACTCGCTCAAGGCACTCAAGAAGCACTTAACTCCATACCCCCACAACAGGACCCGATGATGATGTGAAGAGGCATTCTCCAAGCACGCCGGAGAGAACCCAGGACGATAGATCATATAATGCAAGCTGATATCAACGCCAGTTAAGCACCACACGCTAGACGGCCGTAAGCCTGAGAGGTTGAATCCCCACGCCGAGAGGGATAGGTAGAATCTCAGCAAGGCTGCTGTTTAGGGGCTAATAATAGCCAGTCATTGCAGTCAGCGGGTTTCCAAATGCCATGAAACAAATCACGGCAATACATACGAAAAGGAAGATGCCATCCTGGAGCAAATCAAGACAATACCAAGCTGTTCACCAATTTGCAGGGCATGGGCATGGGCATCAGCAGGCGCGGTGGGCAGGAAATTATTCAGCCTGACGTTTTCTGCCAGTTCTAAGCCGCATGCAGCGGCCAGACTTGCCCAGCTGATGCCCCCTCCGTGCTGGGATCGCAGGCTGACGCCCGCCAACTGTGGCCAGTGTCTTTAGCACAACCCTAACGCGGCCCCTGTCACCGAGTACTACGGAACGACTTGCCCTGTCTTCGCTGCAATCGGGTTGCCCTGCGTTGCCCTGCGTGTTCCATGCGCAGTCCTCGATGCCCTGATGCCCCCCTTGCCCCTTGGCTCCGCGGCAGGCCTGTGCCCTGCTTGGCTGGCGCTGACCAGCCTCCAGGCCATGGCCGTCCCTTTTTTTCGGCGCCAAACGCTAGCAGGGCCACCACGCTATCATGTTTCACTGTCGGCGTTCTTGCGTAGACTGGTCATCCAGCTCAAACCTTGGAGCGAGCACACTGACGCCGATCCGAACAAGGTGTCTGCAACAAGGTGTGGTGACCTTGGTGAGTAAGAACCAAATTTCCCCGGACAGCCTCCCGTCCTACATAAGGGAGCTAGCCCCCGAGCCACCAGAGGCAAGAAAAGTGAAAAAGTATCACAAACTATCACCGCCGTACATCGACATAGTTTCAAACTTCGAGCCCCTACATTCAGTACGTACGAACAAACAAACCCCGTACTCGGAAACAAGCGAAGTCTCTGCAATATCATTCTTCCCGGACTCGTCACCTATATAACCTCGCCGCTGGCCTGGCTTCAGAGCAGCCTCATCAACCTCGAACTCCTCGAATATCACAAGCCAAGATCATCCTCGAGTTCAATCTCACACACTCAATCAACATGCCTGCCCACCGCCCTTCACAATTACCTCCTTGCCCCGGCCCACCACCCAGCCGTCCGCTCCCTCCTCTACCAAAGTAGAACCTCCTCACTCACCACCACTCGCCTCATCGTATTCGAAGCATCTTCAACACACGGTACATCTCATTTGCGATTTGGACTCTTTCCAATCGTCTCAGTTCGGCAACCTCTCAGGGCAGTTGCAAACAACACATCTCGCTCGATCCAGTCTCACGCATACACATACAAAGTACCTGGACGGATACGAAGCGCATCGCATCTCGAAATCAACTACCATCCTGGCCCCCAATCCCGTCCTGCACAGTTTATGTCATCCGAAGTCTGACGCGCTGAGGTGCATATTCCAAAACGATCCGACATGCTGCCTATCTCCAGCGGAAAGTGCCTAAACAACAACCAGCCCACACGTCTTCTCCGCCCGTATCCCAATTCCTCGATTCTACCTCGCCTGACACACAATTCCTGTCTCCTCTTCCCTTCGGGATGGCGTCCTCGTTTACGTTCGCTTGCAATTTTAACTTGGCAGCCTGCGGCACAGGCATTCGCCGTTTGTTTGATCTCCTCCTGATCTCCCCGGTACTTGCCATGACATGCCGATCTATCCATTCACGGACTTTGGCGCGAGCGTTTGGCTGCGCTGGCGGCAACGAACCGAAGCGTGCGTCCGAGCAGGCTCGACCTCGACTTTGCAACGCCTTGCATACAGACAACGTCCGCTACTCTATCTAATCGCTAATTTCTCGACTCGAGTTTCCATGTACAAAACGCTTTTCTATTCTTGGGGGCCGGCGCGTATCGTTACGTTTCATCATACCCATACCCTCCCTCATCCACCTTGTTCATGTACAATATATTTGGGCGCGGGCTAGGCGTTCTTGCGGGGGGCCCGGTTTGGGAGATCTTTTCAATGTGGGCTTTCGTATATCTTGCAACTTGAGCTTCCTTCTCGGAAGCGGGGCACTATTGGGTTAGAATGTGCATGGCACATAATTTGCATGGTTTCTTGGGAAGGTGGAATGGGCTCATTCCCTTCATTGGCATTTCTTTGTCCTATGGCCAGATATCATATACCCTAGAATGGCAGATTCTAATACACATTTGTCTTGGAATTGCAGTCTCATGACAGATGAAGGAGGCTGAGCGCACCGGAAATTATCAGGATCTTTTTAATATAATACAAACAAACGCAAACGCAAGTTCCAATCCCAACCCAACTTCCCAGTGACAAATCCTGAGCTTGTAACTCGTGCGGATTGATGATCCCCCCCCGCTTTCATCCAATTCACATCTCCCTCCCCCACAAGCTCGGTTACGAAGTGTACTTACTCACTCCCCGAACTGTTCCATTCCAACAATCCACTTAATTGGCTCTCAAAAACGATCGTCCCGCAAGCTTCGGGAAAACGGAGGGTAAACTCTCTTTCTCCTCAAACCCACTGTTTTCCTACTCCGGCTGCTGAGCTGAGCAGAGCAGAACATTCCCAGTCAGCGCCAGCGTCACATCCAAAACTGAACTCAATAACCATGATACATAATAATAGCTCACACTTGCGCGCACTCGCTCCCTCCCTCACCCGCTCCCGCATCCCAAGCGATATCTCCCGTAAGCGCCAAATATCTCCACATCGCCCAGATCTCCCTATCCGGAAAGAAAAAAGGATTATTGTGATATCGACGTCATGGGTGTTTCTAGTGTCCGCTGCTGTGTTTTTGATCGTGATTTTCCGCGGCATGATCCGCCCGAGACGCCCGCCCTCCCTCCAGCCACGGATGTCACCCGGGTGGGTGTACTGTAAGGTGGTATTTTTGGTTTCTGGAAGCGCTCAGCTGATCACGGACGCCCGACCCTTTTTCAAGCGGCCATCACAATCACATCATCAACCGCCGGGTCTTGGGGGGAGGGGGGTGATAACAGAGCTCTTATCAAAACAGGGCTGGGGGCGACGGGGGCAAAGCCCCATCCGGAAATAACAAATGCCATGATTAGAATAGCATTTCCGTTTTTGGGGATGAGGGAAGAAAGGATGGATTGGGGTTGGTGCAGGTTGCTTGCTGGTTTTCAATGACCCTTGCACATACTTTGCATTGTTTTGTTGATGCACATATATTTGGTTCTGCCAAAAAGACGAATTTGTATGCAAGTCTTACACTCCCCGAGAAAGAAAAGAAAGTATGGTAACGAGCCCGGCCTCAAAAGTCCGTGTTTTTAGCGATATTTTCAGGCATCGCAAAACCAAAATCCCCCACTTCACTTGACAAATATACAACAACTATTAATTGTGACCTATTATAATTTATATGTATATGATTAAAGAAGCTAGAGTGAGTTTTAAAACTCTTTTAAAGCTATTTAGAGAATAAGATAAAAGGCACAAAATTGGGTTTGGCATTCGTTTAGCGAAATGCCCTAAAAATACGGACTTTTGAGGGTGGGCTCGTAAAGATGGGCTGACACTCTTGACGATCATGATCAGGTAACCGAATCGTGCCTGCCAAGGCACCCGTTCCCCCTCCATTATCTCAAACCCCAAATTCCCATTCCAGTTTTTCTTATTTGCTTATTCTGAGGTGGTTCGATAGGGGAATGAGGAATGGATTCTTGGGAGAGGGGGGAAAGAGGGGTAGATCAGAAGAACAAGGTCAGCTGAACCACCATCACTAGCTAGACCACCCCATCACACGGATTCCAAAGCGTCGGGCAACCCGCAAAAAGGAAGATTGAAACCTGTCTTACATCCACTTATCAGCGGGAGTTCCAAGCGAGGTGGCACCTTTTCACGCCGCAAAGGGATCGAGATCGACTGCGGGGACGGGTAGCTGTTGAAAATGGCGATGGGCCTGGCGGAGAGGCCAAGCGAGCGGGAAGGGAAGCGCTGCACCCCTGGCCGATCACTCCCCTTTTCGCTCTGAGATACAGTACAGTATGGAGCGCCGCTTGGAACCATTGGAGATTAGTGCATATTTTACTAAGTGCTCGCGTTAGATCGTCTTGATTGTCAGGAGAGCGAGGTCCTGAAATTTTCTATTTCTTGGAAATCTTTGGTTTGACCTCTGAGCCGATGATGTAAATGTCGGCGATCATGATGTGATTGATGTGTGCGTGTCAGACCGGACGAATTCAAGGAGATCGGATGTGAGGACAGACAGATAGGAAACTCTACTCCGTAGGATTCGACTCGGGATTTTAGATGGTGGGAATGGCGGGGATGGCGGGAATGGATACCTATCTCGAGTTGGACAAGCTCGTGGTGGGTGGTGTTGGTAAGGGAAGGTTGCATCCCGTCCGGGATTGTGCCTGAATCCGGGCTTCCAAGAACCTTGATACTACTACCGTAGTAGTGTACGCTGTAACCAGGACACGGGCGTGCTGATTCACAATCGTGATGGTGTGCTTGCTGTCTTTAGATGGGTGGTGTGGCTTGGCTGGAGAGGGGTAAAGTCGAGTGCGGATCCGAGAGTGTGGTGGGTGGAATGGATGGCGACGGCACGGACGGAAGCAGCGTTTGTCGTTTGCAACCCTCACGATACTCTCCACGTGCTGGATAGGGGGTAAGCTGACGTGCATTTGTGCTTGTTGGTAGGAAAAAGGAAAGAAGAGGCGGGAAAGGAGACATCACGTGAACACGCTCCCTTTCGCGGGACGAGCCTTGGCAGCGGGAAATTCATGCAGGACGTCAACGAGAGCCGTGAAATATGTCACTTGTACAGCTTCATGAAACAAACTCTACATATTGCTCCGAACTTTGTGCAACACCACTCTGCACCTCGCGCAATCGCAATCTTGTGTTCATTCCAATGACAGCCTGACTTGATCATCACACGCCAATTCCAAATCCACAACAGACATGCTTGAGCTCCACGTTTGGGGCCCAGCATTCGGGCTCCCCTCTCTCGACCCCCATTGCTTAGCAGCAATTGCATACCTGCAACAAGCAGTCCCGCGGGGGAAGTGGCAGCTGATAGCAAGCTGCAATCCGGCGTTAAGTCCAACCAGTACGCGTCCAGTCCAGCCCATTCCCCTCCTCCCTCTCTAATGCAGACAGATGAGCTCCCCGCACTTCGCAACGGCGATATCTGGATCGGTGGCTTCAGGAATATATTCCACTACCTCGCGCAATGCTCCGCCGGGGAATGGGTGCTGGATGCAGGTCTGCCAGAGCAGGAGGGCGCTGATTGCATTGCGTATGCACCCTCTCCCCCTCACCGCTTTCCACATTCATTACTCTCTTAATCACAAGGCTGACACTTCCCTCTTTCACCAGCTTTTCCTCCTTCGTCGAATCCCACGGCCAGCCCCTCATCGACCTCTCCCTCTACGTCTCCTCCCAAAACTACACCACAACCACGCGGCCACTCTATAGCGCCCTCCTACCCTTCCCCCTCCCCTACCTAACCCCGCCATCCATCCGCGCAACCGCCAAACAGCGAACCGCCCACCTAGGCCTCTCATCCCTCGACATCGACTCCGACGACTCCTCTCCACCTCCCTCACAATCCATAATCCCCAAATCCCTCCGCAGACCACGAAACACAGTCTCCTCACTTCTCGCCGCAAGCCCTGAAGCAAGCGCACAGATAAGACTCGATGCCTTAGCTACGGCCTTTCTCGAACCATTAGAGAAGTTGAGAGCCAAGAAACAGCTCTTCGTTTCTGAGAGCCAGTTCACGAGTCTCGATTGTCTGGTCCTGGGATACCTGTCATTAATGCTTGTCCCTGACCTCCCACAACCATGGCTTGCACAATGTCTGAAGAAGAAATTCCCAAGCCTGTGCACATGGACTGAAGAGTTGCGAAAGACGGTTTTCGGACCGGAAGTCACCGTGCATGATGCCTTCCTGACGAAACTCGGAGACTCGGAATTAGATTTAAGATTGAAGAGACTAAGAGGGAGAGGTCATCTGCCGTGGAAAGCACCGGATGACGGTGGTGCGGTGGGGATCGGGAGTGTCTTTCTGGGTGGTGTTGCGGATGGAATTCCTGTTGTTGGGCAGTTAAGGAGGAATACGAGGATGAGGCAGCATGGGGGCTTGACTACGGAAGACGGGGTCGAGAGTTCGAGTTTCCAATACCTTACACTTATTGCGGGTCTCGTTGCTGGGCTGGGGGCGGTGGCGGGATATATGTTCCATCAGGGGCTGATAAGTTTTGGAGAGGGAGAAGAGACGAGGGAGAAGGAAATGGGTGGTGGACTGGGGGCACTCGGGGAGGCCGGCGCGGCGTTGGGATTTTATGCTAGTCAGATGGATGAGCAGGTCAGGAGGCAGAGGGTTATGGAGGAGATGAATGAGACGCATGGGGCGCCGGTGGCAGAGGTTGATGTTGACGTTGAGGTTGAGAGGAAACCCTTATGAGGATAAACAAAGCAAATGCAAACCCCACTCAAACTCTCCTCAGCGCAAAAACCAATTTCTAGTATTCCAGTCCACTAGGTATATCACGAGCCCTGATCAATTGAGAGTCGACGAATTGGAGGTGAGTGTCCATCGATGTGGTCAAAATGGACACCCATTCGCATTCAGCTCTTCGAAGGCATGGGTTCCATCAAGCTACCTTGGGCCTCCAAGTGGAGATTCTCAAGATCGTTTGGCCATGTCAGATCAATATTCCAAGTTCCCAAGCACATCCAAATCCACCCATCTCGATCTCACTTAGGGAGTTTTAGCTAATACCTACTATCGCTTAAGCTGTCCCCTACAATAGTTCAGTATATGCTCTCCTTGTACTCTGCATATACGCGGGCTAGGAAAGTTAGGTTTAATCCCGAGCTTGCGAGGGGGCTTAGAGTTAGTGGCTAGGCTTCGGGTTGGTCCCGGGATATTAGGGGTCGGCGAGAGCCCCCCGCATTGGGATATATTAGAGCGTGAAGGTCCTGTGGGTTAGGGTTAGTATATGCCGAGCATATGCCAGAAGCGACGGCGACGGTAATAGCAAGGTGTGTCTAACTTACTTATGTGCTTCTTAGTAAAGGTCGAGCATATGCTAGGAGCATGCCCGGCGGGCTGTTGGGTGGAGGTCGGGGAGGAAGGAGGACGATAGAAGAGAGGGGTTGTATTCATTTAGTAAAATAGGTATTTACTATATCTTAAAGGTCGAGCATGCACAAGAAGCTGATTATTACTATAGAAAATACAAGGGTATTGTCGATTAATTTTCTCTCTCTCTGACTTCGCTTTCGGTTAGTGAGCTTGCCGCTCTTGCTCAGGCGCTAATCACCCTCGGCTCAGTCAACTCGCCTGAGCAACCTGAGCAAACTCACCCGAGCAACCTGAGCACCCTGAGCCCTGAGCATCCTGAGCAAGATTTACTATATCATTACGTATTTTGACTTCTCGCTTTTTAACTAATTATACTTGATCCAACCTCTGTTCTCTTATATTACTTTTATCAAGTTTTAATAATAATACTTAAGAAGCCCAAATAAGTTCCCAAGAAACTCAAGGAACCTAAAGTAAATATATTTCAAAAATATACTTAGTACTTTACCTATAATATAAGTTAGATTAATATAGATATCCCTAAGAAAAGTACTTCTTTTCCCTCTATAAATTCCTTCCTACTCTATACTTATCTTAATCTAAATACCTTTTTTCTTTAATCTCATTATTTAATTAATTTCCTAAATCTCTTTATAAAATTTATTTTATTAATTACCTTCTATTTACTATCCTATATAAGTTACTATTTTAATATCTTTAATACCTAAAAAAGAGTTAATAGAGGAGTTCTTTATATAATCCTATAATAAAGGCTCTAGTATTAAGTCAGAAATTATTAATAGAAAAAAGATATAAAAAAAATCTCTAGTTAGAAATAAAGAAAAACTATATTTATACTCTAGTATAATAGAACTAGTAAGGGCTATTTCCTAATCTCTAATAAATATTTCTTCTAATACTTATCTCTTTACTAAATAGATTTAAACTCAAATACCCTAGAGCTATTTTAGATAATATAGAAATATTAAAATATTAGGCCAGATATATTATATATAGTATTATAGATATCTATAGTAATAACATTTCTGGGCTAGGCTTTATTATTTACTTATAAAAGGATTTTATAATAGACTAATAATAAACTAAATAGAAATTAAAAATAGATTCTAAAATAGTTATTACTATTTCAAATATAAGTTTTAGAAGTAGTATTTTTATATTTTTGAGTTATTATATATAATTACTAATAGAATATAGTTTATAAAAGGCTCTTTATAAAAGAAAATCGGTTTATACTATAGGAAATAAAAGAAGAAATATAGTATAATAATTTACTATTAGTATAACTGTTCCTTTGGGAGTCACGTGCGTAGTTACGGGATACGGGACACGGGATATAGGCAATAGGACATGGGCAACGGGATATAGGATACGGGACATGGTCATATGACCTCGCGTTCTATTAGTGACTCGACTAGTAGACTAGACCCCTTTAGGCTTAGCAGATTTAGGGATCGCATATTAATACCACGATACTATAATCCTTACTTCTGGAGAACAATAACTTCACTAACTAACGCAACCAGTACTTCTATGCCTATATAACGGTGCCATATATTACTAGTAAACCAATACTAATTAGTTAGTACTTACAGATTAGAGAAAGACCTAGCTAGTCGGAAAAGCATTCGGTAGCCTAAGACGAGTAGTTTACTTCTAGTCGAAAAGGGAAACCACTATTAACTCCGGAAAAGCATTTAATAGCCTAAGGAGAAGATACTAGCTCTTGCCAATTAATAAGCGGTTAGCCATTTAACTATTCATTTATCCATTCAACTTTTACTATCCTTTAAAACCAACTTCTTTCGGCCCCAAAACTACCTTCTTGGAAACCATCTTTTCCACTTATATAATACCCGTATCTACGGGACCCTCTCTCCGGAACATATGCCCTATATATGCCCTTAAAGCTCTTTAACTACTACTTCGATTTTACCATCAAATCGAGTCCTTCGAGCTTTAGACCCTCCCGGAATCGTAATATTTCACTTCCTAAATTTCTCGTTATAGACGAAATATTTAAGGGCGAAATATTTACTTTAATACCCTACCAGGTATCTGGTATCTGAACCAGGCATCTGGCATCTTAACTAGGTATCTGAACTGGATATCTGGTATCTGAACCAGGCATCTGAACCAGGCATCTGGATACCTTTACTACCAAACCCTTTCTATAAACCTACTACGAACTACCTTACCTTCAAATACCTCTTACTACGAATCATATATATATACTAGGGAGAGACTGAACTTGGTTTAGTATAGATAATGAAAAGGAGAAGAAGTTAATTAAGAAATGGGAGGATAGGATTAATACTAATAATACTATAAAGGCAGATTTTCGGGAATATCTAAATACCAAGCTATATTAGTATATCTTATATAGAACTTCTAATAAGAACCTATAGGATCTATTTAAGAATAACTTCAAGGACTTTAGTAATATGACCTTTAATTAATATAGCCATACTAAACTATAAACCCTCCGAAAATACCTTTAGTATAATAATATTTATATTAAACAGAACCATATATACCTTACTATAGTATAGTCCCTACTTAATATTATTTAGGAAAAAATAATATATATTTAGTATAAAGCCAATATTATTAAAGATAGCCTAATTAGAATAGATCTTCTAAAAGAATTTATTATATTAATTTATCTTACTCTAGAAGAAACTAGACAGAAAGAAACCAAGTATTCTCGGTTAACTAGCCAGTCAAATTAAGATATCTATTTACCTCCTCCGAATTAAGGCTATTTACTGCTTCTACCTTTACTACTACTACTAGATCTACTACATCCGAAAGATACCTAGTTAATTCCTATTATTACTACTAGAAAGCTTATTAGGGAAATAGTAAAGATATATACTAAGGTATAGAAATATAATAGAACTAATAATAGTTTTAACCAAAAGCTTACTATTTTCCTGGATATTTACTAATATATAGAGCTCCCAGAAAAGGTATTAGTAAGAGCTTTTCCTACTATATTAAAGGGACTAGTATAAGACTACTTCTATAATAACTAGCTTTCTTAACATATATATAAAGAAGCCTATACGAATATTTATAGTTTCTTTAAAGGCCCCGGTTACTATTATCGAAATTTAGACAAATAGAATATTATTACCTTAGTAACTATAATAGTAAAAGACCCTAAAAAGATAATATTCGAGCTTATCCAAATACTAATTAATAACCTATACAAATTATAATATGGCCTTATTCCTGCCTTATAAACCACCAAATTTCTATATAATAAGATTATTACTTCCTATTAAGGCTTACCGGTATACTAATATATAGTCTCGGATTCTCCTAATAATCTCGGCTAGCTTATTAATAAGCTCTAATTATCTATTATTACTTATAAGAAAAAATAATAAATTAATACCCAGATCCTCTTTATTAATTAAAAATACTATTCTTAAAACCCTCCAAATTACTATCTATCCGGAAATCATTAATACAGACCCAGCCATAACTTCGGAACCCGTAATAACTACTTTAAGCCCTATAATTATAATAATTATACTCCAAAGTCATGTTTTATATATAAGAGACCTAAATACCGCTTATAGAAATATATACTAGAGAAATAAGAAGCTAAGAAAGCTTAATTTAAGAATAGAAACCTTTACTAATTTAGATCCCGAAATACCTATAATTTTAATAAATACTTTAGTAATACTTATATATAGTATATTACCGAATTTGAAGAAGAAAAGAATAACGAGAGTAGTAAGAACGAACTAGTAAGTAATACTTTTAAAGCCTTACTAGCAGAAATGAATAAAAGAGAGAAATATTACTTTAATTCCTATTTTATTTCTATTAAGAGCTTTCTAGCTACTCTTATAGCCCCTGCTCCTGCTATTCCTATAACTAATACCCTTATAGATAACCTTATATCCCTTTCCCTTATATACTAGATAATAGGCAAAAACCATATCTTAGAGCCTATTAAATAAATAGAAAATACCCAGATATTTATAATTAATAATATATTAAGATATAATACTTACTACTTTTATAGAATTATAATTAATACTAGAGCCTCTAGATTCTTAATTACTAGTTCTAACTAATTCCAAGCTTTATAATAGACTAATAATAGTATTAAACTTAATAAAACTACTAAAAGTCAAGTTAATATCTAGTTTAGTATTAAATCTATATCCTTTATTAGATCTATAATAGTAAGAATACTAATTAGGCAAGTATAATTCCATATTATACCTATAAAGACTTTATTTCTACTTAGCTTAGCTAATATAGACAAGCTAGGGGTTTACTTTAATAATCTTACTAATTATCCTATTACTTCTAATAAATGCTTTATATCTATAATATAATGTTTTAGATACTCTTTCCTGCTTTAGAATACTATTCTATAAAGCTTTATTTCCGAATCCT